TCAAATATTTTTAAAGAAGTAAAAAATAGGGTGGATATTCCAGGAAAAAACATGATAAATGTCAGCTATGAAAGGACAATGATCTATAACTTAAATATTTCAAAGCACTTTAGCAGATAAGGGGATTGATTTTCCTTCATGAAATTAGTCTCTGTGCACAAATGCCAAGAGAAATGTCAATAAAAATATTTCATTTTAGATCTTGTCCACAACAAACTAATATTTACCCATCCTTTTGTTTTTAGAACAAATTGAAGGCAGCATTTCCTGATTTGTAATTTGATCAGAGGGTAGTAACTTAAACACGTAACTTATCTTCACTTCCAGAAAACCAATATCTGAATTTGGCAGAGCAACTTCCCCAATACTAAGAGATGGAGTTAAGACTTAACTCTTTAGGCTGTCCCTACGCTCCCTCTGTACCCCTTTCCTCCTGAGGACAGTGATAGTTTGAGTTGAGGTAGTTTTCTGATGATATCAGCACCCAGCAGCTACACTTTTTAGTTCTAACCTGGAGAAAGTAATCCCCAGCTGATGCTGAGGTGGTGCCAATAGCCCTGTTGTTTCTGTCTCTCCTACCATGGGAACCCCACCTGTTTTATTTGGACAAATAGCTTTATTTCAATGTGAGACAGCTAGTCTTATTAACACTAGTGATTTAGAGGGAGTTTTTAATCCAGGGTTTAGCATCTGGGAGGCTATTGCAGGGCTTGGCACAGAGGAAGATATTAGTCCCAAATTACAGCTTCTCAAATAAAAGATTAGCATAAGAAAACTATGATAGTTGGTCATGTTACAGATTCCATTTGCTATTATTTGCATTTATTCCAACCCTAACCAATGGTTTCAGTTTTAATGGAATCAAAATCTCAGTAGTCAGCTTTTTCAAGGTTTTAGCAGGGAAATAATTCTCATGCCAGTTCTCCAAAGGGGAAAAAAAAAAAAAACCACTTCAAGGTTTGCTATTTCTCCACATTGAAAATTTTGAAAGGTGTGTGTGGACTGTTTCATGCAAAGTGCAAATAACCTGTTAGATAACCTGATGATTTTAATAAATAATCCTAGTATCTACCTGCTACTTACACTGATACTTTCACTTTTACCATTTGCCCTATTTAAAATACCACAAAGATACCTTCAGGCCACTTCTTCTGGCTTTTTTGGAGACACAGTAAAATTAATTTGACATTGTTAGCACAGATATTTTACTTACTTTCTGACTCATCTTCTCTGTAAATGTTGAGAAGATAATTACATTTTAAAAAAGGTTTAACAAGAATTATATTTTAAAAAAGTTTAACAAGTTATCCATAGACATAATATAATTAACTGAAATATGTGTAAAATTAAGAACATATGGATACTGTTTATTGCTCAATCTTATTATTTAAAGGAAGTGACTGAAGGAAAACTGGAGAAGGATTTATGAAATGCAATGCTCAGTTACAGCTAAATGGATTTATTTGGCAAAAGCGTGTCAATAAATTGGAACCTTATTTTTCTAATGAAATTTATTGTATTATAGACCATTATACATATGGTATCTAGGCCCAAATTGTATTTCAAATGCTTGAAACTCTTTGCTGAGCAGCATAGGTTACTGAGAGGCCTGCACCACACATATTTTTGAGACTATTTCTTTAAAGATTGTTTTTTAATGAAAGTTATTCTGAATTCTGCCTAGTATCATTCATGTCCTGGCAGTTTAGTTTCCAGATAAAAAATAATTTTAAAACCAATGAAGGAAGGAGAGGGAAGCTATCACTAACAAATGAGTGGTTCATCATTCAAGGATTGCGAAGGGCTTGTTCAGGGCTCAGTACAGGGAACAGAACAACTTTTGTTCTGTTTTGTTCCATTAAATTAATGCATGTATAGCAACACTAATCACATACTATTTCTGTGTTGTTCTATTAAGCTTCGTCATCTGAACGAAAATGCTTGGGGCACATTTAGTATAGGAAAACCCTTCTTCTCTAAGAGCAGCAGCCAGGAAAGATATAACTGTGCTAGAGAGTAGAGGAGGCAGGTCTCAATTAATGTTTCTAACTTGTCAGGAAAACTTTTTTAAAGCACCTTTGTTTGCCTGTCTGAGAAATACAGTGAAACTCCAAGGCTGTTAATACTTTCCTATGTTACTTTTTGGCCTCTTTGTGGACTTCTAGCAATACAAATGCATTTATTTCAAGTGAGGGCAGTGCATTGTGTTGTAGCATTCATACCTGTAACTGTTAACGCATGAAAAGCAACCTAAACTAATGCACTGAACTATAAAGACAAGACAGACCCATTGATGACTCTTTTTGGATGCACTTTCTAAGTTTCATAGAAAAGGCACTTAGCTTGAGAAGTTGAATCACAGACCTGTAAAGTGTGAAATAAAGCAATGAATTATTCAGAAAGACCAAAGGGAAACTTTTAATATCTTCTTAGTTTATTAATCCTGCATGGGCAAAAGTAATAATCAAAGGACTGTGGACTGTATCCAGAGAATGAATGTTCTTTTAATTCTGAAATAAAGGGCAATTTTGAGTTTAGGATTCTTATAATTGGGATTTACATTAATTTAAAAAAAAAAAGGGATCAGCAAAGGCTTACATCTTGTACAAAGTAAAAATTAGTAGCAGAAGTTTCAGCGTAGAAACCTGTGATAAGGTTGCCTGCTGACTTTCCAGTTTATTTTTCCATTTATACTGCATCTGTACCTCCAGCCACTCCAGGATCTCTCTCATTCTGCACATTACATTAACTCATAGTTCTCCAGGATATTCCTTGAGAGAAGCTTTCTTCATGTCTACAGTACAGCTATGCTGTATAGTGCATCAGTTTAAATAACTGGTCCTTCTGCAGAAGGACTTGGAAGAGACAAAATAACACTACTTTCAGCTGATGCACTGCAGGGCTTCATATAGAGACCTGCTGAACAGTGGAGAGTTCAGTGCAGAGAGCAGGAAAAAGCAGCATCATCCAGCATTGGCACTAAAGACATTCACAGGGAACCAGAGTCTTAGATTTAAACTACTTTCAGTCTGAAATAATACTGTAACACTTGCCTTGCAAAAAATCAGAAGCAGCATTTTTTTCCACGTAGTCTTGATTGTACATCCTGTTTCCTTTTACTTAAAAGGCCTGTGGTTTTGATTCACAGCTCACGGACAGTCAATAAATGCAACCTAACCTTTGGTATCTAATATTAGCCTTCACCACAGTTAACTGTCAGTAGGAAAGAATTATGCTTGTTCCTCCCATAATTCAGTTGCTGTCATTTAAACAGCACTAGTTGTGCAAAACTTTCTTTTTCATTCAATTTGTATTTGCATTTTTAAAGTTTTATTACTTATACTTGAAAAAATATGGGAAGATAAAATCTAAGTAGTAAAATATAGGTTTACAGTTTTCAAGAGTACCTCACAGAACATGTGTTTACACTTGGTGTTACAAAAAAAAAGCGCCATACTGTTAAAACACTCATATCAGCAGTTTGCTTTAACTGAGAGTCCAAGGACAGAGGCAAAGCTGTGTTTGTGGGCAGAAATAGTGCTTTTTCTGAATCAGCAGGAAAAAGCCAAAAAATAATTTATAAAATATATAAATGAATTCTGAGCAGTTGTTTTTAACTTTTGTTCAGCCTTGAAATATGCTGCTTCTATTTACGCCTGTAAAGAGTTTCTGACCAAATGTTGGCTTTTTTTTCTATTGGTACAATTTAGTTTGACTAAATTATTTAATTTTCTTTTATAGGTCATTCTTATGCAAGAAGCTAAAAGTAATTAAATTTGCAGGATGAAAACATGGCACAGGCACTGCTGGCACCACCTGGACCTGAAAGCTTCCGCTATTTTACTAGAGATTCTCTCGCAGCTATTGAAAAGCGTTGTGCAGAAGAAAAAGCTAAAAAGCCCAAGCAAGAACATACAGACGATGATGATGAAAATGGTCCAAAACCAAACAGTGACTTGGAGGCAGGAAAGACCCTGCCATTTATTTACGGTGACATACCTCCAGGAATGGTATCTGAACCTTTGGAAGACCTGGACCCATATTATATCAATAAAAAAGTGAGTGAATAATGTTTTCCACAGAATAGAATTTAATTTCCTACACTAGGAAAGTTTAATCACAAAATATGATGGTTAGAGTTATCAATCCACTTAATATACAGAAACATCCTTTCATTTAACCAAACTGATTTATGCTCTTTAGTGTTGTGACTGCTTCAATTCCGTTGAGTAACTTGTAATTTACTTCATTGTAAGGAAGATGTAGCTTCCATGATCTTGCCTGAACTTGAGAATGTGAGTGAATTTTCCTGATTTCAATATAGCAGTAAGACTGGATAAGACACAAGAGATGTTCTGAGCATGGTTTTGCAATGGACATAGTTGTAGATAGCCAGGTAGCATCCATAAAAGTTAGTGAAATAAAGGACTGTAACCATATTCTTTGTTTCTATTATAGCAATATAACATATGTAAACATATATATGTATGTATGAAATATATCTATCTCTATATATGTAGCATATATACTCTGTGTAAATCTCAGCTCATATGAAACTACCGCAGTGAAAACTATTGTTTGAGGTGCTTGGCATTGCTGTGGTAGATCTCTGTTGGACAGCTGTCAGTTACAAGTCTGTGGCAGACACCATGGAAAATCTGGGTTTTGAGTAAAGAATCGAAAAAAAGACATTTCTGGTGTTCTAAAGAGGTTTTTTACATAAAGAGCAGAGTAAAGAGTTACATGTTGTGAGATAAATGCAATGTTTCTGAGTTATATGTGTGAGGCTGTAACACAAAGGGACCATTAGTAGCATAGTTCTGCTCCATGAAGAATGTAAACTCCTAAACCAGGTGCATTTTCCCTTAAAATTTCCACAGTCATACAGATTCTTACTTTTCACATGATCTGCAAGCCAGTGACTTGGATATAGAAAGGGTAGTTCAAACAGTTCCATTAAAGTAAAAGGTTTGACTTCTTAAAAGTCAGGATGCGCAGTAGAGTATGTCTTTTGGTCTTGTAGCAATGATCCATTCAGTCTGGAAACCGGCTACCATTATTTGACTTAAGAGAAAGACAGGGAACAAACAAGTATATCTCCATAGCTAGGATTAGTTGTAGACCATTTTGAACTCCTCCAGGGTCTGAAATGGTCCAACCTGGGAATAGTTAAAAGTATCTCATGTCCTGCAGTGATTAGTGAAAGGTAAGTATGACAGGAAGAGCAGGTTTTCCTCTATATTCTTGTTTATTTCTATGTGCTCCTTTAGCAGTATCAAGATGTTCTCTCAGTTCCTGATAGACCTGCAAAGTGTAGTGGGTAAGGAGAGTGAAGGAAGATGAGGATGTGGATAACACCCCTAAATTAAAAAATGCAGAAGGATAAGTCCTTGGGATTACCTTTTTCTGTCTCCCTGAAACAGAGAAATGGACACAGTTGCTCTGATAATGGCTAGAAACATTCCAGGCTGCCATCAAGATAAGAAACTTGACATTGAGCAGCTATAAAACAATCAAGACATAAAATATTTTAAAGTCTAAAGAAACTTACTTTTTTTGTTAGGAAAAAAAATCATGCACATAATACTCTCAGTTTTGTGGCTAAATTTGTGGTTGCCTTTGGTTTGCAAAACTGGTTTAAAAATTATGGATTCAGAAACAGGGAAAAAAAGCAGAAAATAAATTAGAATCTGTATGTAACTGTGTAACCTAACAGTTGCAGAAGTTAAATAAACTGTGCTGTAGATAGCACAAATATTAACATTATTACGGAAATGTAAAGAAATCAAAGTTCAGAGAAGAAGCATTGCCAAGGGTTATTTTAATGTTTATGGTTTAGGTTATATCAACAGTTCCATGCAAATTATTACTTACAATATAATTGTTCGCACTAAGTTTCTGGACTAACTGCAAAAAAACCCCAAACAAAACAAAAAACCCCCAAACAAACCAAACCAAAACAAAAAACCCAAACCAAAAACAGCAGAACAAACTAACAAACAAACGAAAACAGGAATAAAGTTGCATAAATAAGTTCAGGGATAAAGTCATCTGAACAAGCCTTCTGCAAGCGAAGTATCAGAAAACTGAGAAGTACTGAAGCATAGTTTCTAACCACCATTTATCAGAAAAAGTAGTATGATTTTTTGGAGCAAAAGTGTAAAAACTCAGGCTACTGATGGACTTCTTAGTCTATGAGAGCAATTAGTAAACTGTATAATCTTTTGTTACAGCTGACATTTGTCTTTATATTATGTACCAGTCTAATTGTGCTTAACAGAAAACAAATGGATATTATAAATGATGGGCTAGAATTAGTCATCCCTCCCCCCAAGAAGAGCAGAAACTACTCTTAATCATTGACTTGTCAGTGCAGAGAAAATCATACGTGGATTGTAGTCTGTCTTCAGGCTCTGCTGGAGCAGTGACCTTGGGACAGGCAACATCTTTCTAGCATTTCCAGCTGGGTGAAGGACTGTAGGGCAGAGAGAAATGCCAGTGAGTATGTGTCCATTCTTTGCCACCCTCAGCATTTCCTTGATGTTATTCTGCGAACAGGCACCAGCAACACTCCTTTACCTATTTTCTTTCCCACCGTGGAGAGGTTTGCTTTCCCTGCCAGAGATGACAGACCAGATAGGCACTAAAGGCCGTGGAGAGGGCAGCATTTTTCTGATCACAGCCAGCTTTTTACAGAGAACGGAAATCAACATGGAGAACAGTGATACTGTATAGCTCTGCTGAGAGTGTAACAAAGACTCTATTATGTTAACACAAAGCAGAGCCATTACCATCGACAAAGAGCAAAAGGAATGAAGAATAGTTATGTCCTGAAGAAATTTCAAGCAGCACCAGAGATGCAAGTAAACCTCATTCACACACAAATACACTTAGGCAATGACTGCCAAGAGGAACAGAATAAAATGAACACAAACCACAGCTTTATCAGGTCAAACTTTAAAAGATAATAACTAGCTAAATTTGCTGCTCACATATAGGGGAAATGAGAGCATATTGTTGGAATCAAACCCAGCAATTTTTTGAAAAAAAGTTTTGTTGTCATAGGTTGCCAAATTCTGGTATATGTTTGTCTCAGACTGCTCAGAACTATGCCAGCTTGTAATTTATTAATCCTTTTTATTTTTTTCACAGATATATTTTTAGAGTATAAGTGTAACTGATATTGGTAATATTTAAAATATAAAATGAAAGCAAGATTATTTTAAAGTTATAGTTGATTGTGTAGTAACAGGTATTTCTCCTTGTTGCCATATATATGTGTATATAATTCTGTCAAGGATTCGTTACAAATACAAACTGGCATTTAGAATTGCCCTTTTGATATTTTGGTTTTGTTTTTGTTTGCTTACAAGGTAGAATGTATTTGATTATTTTGAAACTCACTTTAATCAAAGACTTCATTAGAAATAAAACAGAAATATTTTACTGATAAAATGCTGCATTTTGCTATTATTGATAAACTGTCATTTTTTATAGTTCCCACCAATTTCAATATCATGAGAATGCAGTCCACATGCTGGGAAACTTTGCAAATTGGAGAATTGGCTGTGGAAGGCTTAATTAACTGTATTTATAGAAATCAGTTATTTTCCTACCACAGGTAGACAGTAGAATGGAACTTGTACTCTCAGGTGGAGAATGGAAATTTTACTAGGAAGTAAAGATATTTATGTAGTCAAGACTGTATTTTAATTTTATATTTCTTTTTTACAGACTTTCATAGTATTGAATAAGGGAAAAGCAATTTTCCGATTCAGCGCCACATCTGCCTTGTATATTTTAACTCCTTTTAATCCTATCAGAAAAATTGCTATCAAGATTTTGGTACATTCATATCCTTTTTTCTTAATGTTGATTTAAGATTTGCCATTTAAAACTATTTAATGACTGAAATAATGCTTTTCATGTGGATATACAAATTGTGTCCATGGGGGTGTACTATGCTAAATAAATATAAGCTGTTCACACTTTAAAAAGGAGCAATATTACACATGAATTACAGTATGATCTTCATTCTTGCCAAGAGAATTCTCTACTGAACCACCTAAAGCTGTCAGAGTTTAAATATCAGGCTTTATATCTAAAAGGAGACCTGATGCCATACTGAGCCCTGCAGCTAAGGCCAAATTAGTAACAAACCATTGCACTTGAACATCTCTAAGGTCACACTTTTACCAAGACCAGTAGTACTATTCATGAACTAGACTCACTTAGCAAGGACAAAAGAGCATGTGTAAAGAGCTGCTTTTTCAGCATTGTATTTTCAGCATTGGGGTAGGTGTCCTATAAAAAATTCAGGAAAAAGAACAGTATTTTCAAATACATTTCAATCACATCCAAAGGAAAACTTGGGCTTAAACAACCAACCTCTGACTAAAGATCTTTTAGAATGATCCCCCTGTCTTCAATGAATAATTACATTTGGGTAGTCATATCATATTTTATGGACTTAAGGATGTGTTTAGGTTTCATTTAAAACCTAAACCTGCTATAATTACAAAAGTAATGCATTGTTTTACAGAAGTGCACCATAACATGCCAGATGGCATACCATTTAAAATAGATAAAATATGTGCAAAACTTTATTTTCAGATGTTAATTACAATGTCAAGTTATTTGTATACATTTCTGTACACCTAGTAATTTTACTTTATATCAGTGTTATAAAACTGTTATGCTTTTTTCACTTACATGCCTTGACTATAACCTACATTATTCAGCATGCTTATCATGTGCACTATTTTGACCAATTGTGTATTTATGACCATGAGTAACCCTCCAGACTGGACAAAGAATGTAGAGTAAGTTAAACATTTTTACTTCTTTTTTTTTTTTTTCATCTTTGTTTTTCTGTGACTCCAAACAAGAGGCATTTATGAAAAGTTACATGCCAGAATGGGCTTGTCCAGAGTCATGAAGAATCAGATTCCATGAGATCGCCAATATCTTTCTGGTTTCCTTGTGAATAACTTAAAGGGTTTAAGTTATTTAAGTTATTTATTATTGTTCTTTAAAATTATGTCTGAGGAGTATCTGAACTTCTACTGTGAAATATGAACAGAAGCTCTTGTCCTTGGATATTCTGAGCTGTAAATTGGGAAAGGAACTCCAGAACTACAAATGTGCATGTAAAATCATTGCATGCCATTGGTGAGGCCAGTCATATTTTGCCTGAGTATCTTATCACAGTGGGACATTTATTGTGGCTCACTGATGTGAACTCATAAGTGTCTGCTATAGCAAGCACACACAACCCCCAAACACAACAAACTCAAATGGCTGAGGAAAGGACCTTATCTATGAAGGAGAAACAAAGAGCTGATGGAAGTAAGGAAACAACAAACTATCTATTTCTTTTTCTTGTTCATGGTTATAAATGCATGTTATAAATAAAGATAGATGTTTTCCTCTGAAATATTGTAGAATCATAGAATCATAGAAGGGTTTTGGTTGGAAGGGACCTTGAAGATCATCCGGTTCCAACCCCCTGCTGTGGGCAGGGACACCTTCCACAGGGCCAAGTTGCTCAAAGCCCTTATATTTTTGTTTTAAATAATACTACTCATGAAAAACGTGGTTCTAACCACTTGTTTCTTTCATTCCCTCCTGTTCTCAAATAGCCATTATTGATTTTTATTTATTTATTTCATTGCATTAATGAGCCTTACTCTGAATGCTGCGTTTAGAAACCACTACTATTAACCCATTCCCAGTATGCTCAGCAGTGACTATGGCTTGTTAAGAGTTGCTGAGAGTCTGAAAAGAGAGCAGTATGGTCTGTAAGTAGGTAGAGTTGTTTTATTCTGAAGGTCCACACAGATCCATGTGGGTCTCAGGAAGTGCCTGCATTATGCTGGTTATAACTGACTGTTCTATGTTGTTAAATGAATGGTTGTTCCCACACAGGTAAACTGGTAATCATGCTCCAAGTATTCAAGAATAAGAGTCTGAGCATGCTTTCTTATATTTAATAATTATTTATGAAATAAACATCTAATATAGACATGAGTATAGTTATTATCCAGAACTGATTTTCACAAAACTCTGATTTTGACACCAAAAAAATTCTTCATTTTTTGTAACACTTAGACATCTACCTGATTTATGTGTGCAAGCAAAGAGGCAACCCTGTTAGTGCCAGAGAATGTACATATAAATATCGAAGCCTGAAATGTATTTATAAATACTAGAGTCTGAAATTATTTTCAAGCACATGAACTGAGATTAAATCAACCTTTTAGAAAATGAGTAGCAAATATATCATGTTCTACAATGTTTAGGGCAAGTGAAGTTAACGATTTACTCCTTTCACTTCTAAATACTTTTCTCGTAAGTCATCTTTGCTAAATGGCACTGTCTATAAGTATGCAAAATCCATTATTCCTGCTTTGATGATTTTCAGGTACACTTTCACTGGAATTTATACCTTTGAATCACTTATCAAAATTCTTGCAAGGGGCTTCTGCTTAGAAGGTTTTACTTTTCTGCGAGACCCGTGGAACTGGCTTGACTTCAGTGTCATTTTAATGGCGTAAGTGGTTCAAGAACTTTTTAAGCTTTTAGGGCATGAAATTAGTGGTAAATATTATTCTAATAAATGTATATATTTAAACACTTAATTTCTGCAACCTCTGAAGTTTAGACACTGTATCACACATTTTAGTATGCACAAATCAAAGTAAAATACAGCAGGAGCTGACACACAGTGTCAGCCACTAGTGTAATTACTAGAGGGACACTAATTTCATGTCCTACATTTTTCTGCTCACCAGAAAGGAAGCCATCCCTTTGACTTCATGTCACCATCCCATTACAAGCTAGTTAGTTTAATTAGCTGTTCT